AGGTCCGTTGTGTTGCTTTATACCCTACATTTGTTTTCGTTGTTACAAAAAGTAAGTTTGAATGGTAGATCCACACGCTGTTATGACGTCACGCGGCTGCGGTGGCGCTGCTGTCGCCATGGCGCATGCGCAGACAGCTTACTTCACGCGCTCTTTTCTGCTCACGCGCAACGCCCATGGCCTGGTGCGGGGCAAACGCGGCCTTTTTTTGTAAACATGGAGTGCTTTGGCTTGCACGCATATACTGTATGTATATGCTGTCGACGGATCACTCTGCACCTACCTGCTCGCGAAAGGAGAGACGCAGAAAGAGTGGAGTGAGAGGAAGACGGGCGGACATCGGAGTTCGGACTCCGGAAAAGTTCCCAGAGGGCAGGCGCAGGGCTGCTAAGAGACGCTGCGCCGGTGGCTTTGTGTGATGGTCTTCTGCTTGTGAGAATAAAAAAAATTTAAGAAAAGCTAACAACTTGTCAACTACATATAGTGTAAAAAACAAAAGAATTATTGTGATTATTTGTTTTTATTAGGATGGATTCTCAGCTCCGCATAAAAGGTCGCAAGGAGGCGAAGGCTTTGTGACAAAATTCTCTTTGAGTCAGGTCGAAACGTCCCCACGACGCGCAGTGACGCGTTGCCTCTTCTAAAGGATGCTGGCGTGCATCTGTATCTAATCTCGCACCTTTGGACGTTGAAACTTGGCCGTGTAGCCACGTCTACTCTACAATTTCAGCTTGCACTAGAAATAAATACATAGTGTAATAAAACCTTTAAAGGGGGTATCTTCGAACACGCGATTTGAGGCGACAAACGCATCGCATGCAGACGGCGACCTAATAGTAAGGATAAGCGCGAACTGGGCCGAATGTACGCAGCAGCAAAAACAACTCCGCGTTGCGCAGAACAAACGTAGACGGAGTGCCGCTGTTACAAGGAGACTTCGACAACGCGCTCATCTGCCGCTTCATCCTTGTCCACATTCACCCATTTACGCAGTGTTCGTTATAATCGTCCTTTAAAAGCCTCGTTTCCTGCAGCCCTGCTCGCCGGCGGTTTATCCCCGCGGAAAGAAACAAGAAACGAAACTTGCTCGCCACCAAATCGGTAAAACGGAACAAGATTAAGCGGCGGATAGGCTGGAGCCCGCGCTTTGTCTGCCGGCACACTTTGGCCAGCGCTATCGCTCGGCATCGTGCTGTGCGCGCTCTGGCCCCGCAGGAGAAGCACGCCCGGCCGTTTCATATAAGTGGCAGAGAGACGTTGACCGGGCTGCGCGCGTAACCCCGTCACGTCGATATCACGGCTCCGCGGGACGCTCTCTTGTTCCCATCTGATGAGAGCATTAGCGCGGCGAAGGAAGAAGAACCCCACGCGGCCAGGCGCAGCAGCAGCAAGAACGGAAACTCCGTGTCTCGTGTGACCCGCCTCCGTGGGCAAGCGTCGTGCTGCTCGAGCTGCACGATTCGCGCCCACACCGCCTGCCACCGATGTGTCAAGATCTCCAGGAGCCAGTGATCCGCCCTCCGCAAGGATCCCCAGGTGGCGGGTTCGAATCCCGGCCGAGGTGCGCGCAATCTGACTGAGGCTATACTGCGGAGAAGGCGCCATGTATACCGAGATTTAAGGTTGCACGTCAAAAGGTCCTCGGGTGGTCAAAATCATTCTTCAGTCCTCCGCTGAGGGGTGCCAGATGCGCGTCGTTTTAACCCCACAGTTTATTTTGACTTTGACGAGGCAGCGGTCTGCGCCCAAATCGAGTACCGCGTGTTTTTTGCTTTTGTTTTTGTTTTTCGCCCGAAAAGAAAGTTTACACTGCAAAATGAAACAGCGTAAATTGGCGACGGACTGCTTGCTATACAGAGCTACGGGTCGCCAGGTGTGCAAGCACGAGCCACAGTTAGAAACCTCGTGATACCGTCGAACATGTATTTAATTTTTCTATTCAATGATCGCGCTAAGATTTTGTATAGCAACTGATTCTGCGTCACATAAAAGATTAAACGTGGACATTTTCTACCACATAAAGATAGCCGAGAATGGCGGATCACATCAATAGACCTATTGCTGGGTGGTTTCATTTGAAATCGAACACGCTTGTCGGGGTGGGTCTTTCGATTTTTTTTTTAAATATATGTAATTGCCCCATTCCTGGAAAGAACAAAACCGCTTTTCAAAATAAAAAAAAAATATTTCGCTTCACAAAAAATTATTGAGTGGAGCAAGGTGAAAATCTGTTTTTTACTCCGTGATTTTTCTACCCAGTTCTGTACGCTGGTATGAATACGGGAAGCATAAAAAAACTCACAGTAATTTTTTGTGCTTTTGTATGTTTTTTGGACTATTTTTTAGTTCAAAGGAAAATACTTTTGTAGTTTCGTTTATTGAGGTAAAAAATGCCAAACATCGTCTCTTTGACAATCCGGTGACATCTTCAGAGCCTTGTAACTCATGAGTTATTATATTTGTCACTTATTAAATACTATGCCGGCGTAGCCCTATACATGGGCTATCGACGGGCATAAGTTTTGTTTATTTTATTTTCACTGAATTTTTTATATAAAATTTGAAATATCGTCGAAAATGAAATTAACCGATATTTTGAACTCACTTTATCAAAAAAGGCCATTTTTTATTTCGTTCATATTTTTTATTATTGCTGCCGATCATAGGAAATTTCAATTGGTTTGATGCGATTTCCCCCTTTTTTTGTTGTATCTTCTCTAGAAGTGATCGAAATCGCTCCCACGTGACATTGCCGTGACAACTTCAGAGCATTGTAACTCATGAGTTATTATATTTTTCGCTCACCAAATACTATGCGGGTGTAGCCCTATACATGGAATATCGACGGGCATAAGTTTAGTTTATTTTATTTTAACTTAATTTTTTATATAAAATTTGAAACATCGTCGAAAATGAAATTAATTGATATTTTCAACCCACTTTATCCAAAAAGGCCATTTATTATTTTGTTCAATTTTTTTAGATATTGCTGCCGATCATATGAACTTTCAATTGGCTTGATGCGATTTCCCCCTTTTCTTGTTGTATCTTCTCGAGAAGTGATCGAAATCACTCCCACGTTCTCTGAACGGCCAAACGCAGTTTCCGCAGGTCGGCTTCGCTGCAAAGAATATACTGCTTATTTGTGTGTTCAAATGCAGCGGGTAAATTCATTTCGATTGAGAACACTCGTGCTTGGCTACATTGTATTTTATTAATTTTTAATGATGGCAACTGACATTCCTTAGTCTGATATTTAGCGGTGCAGCGAATGTTCCATTATCCGATGTTTAAAGCCAGGGCACAAAGGGCGGTGAAAACAGAACGAGCTCTTCATGTAGCCAGACCGGGGTTATATACCTGTACAATCTTTGTATTAAGATCGGTGCGACAAAGTGGAGAAACTAAAAATCTACAGAGACATTAAGTGACTGCTTTCGCTGCCTTCTGTGCATGTGGGAATTCTTGCTTCTTGGCACCAGAGATATCCGATCCAGTCTTGAACAAAACCCAACACTTTTATTTTTAACTGCACACACTCGTTCAAACAAAAGGGCCACCGTCTCAGGTTCTCGCTTTGGCTCCAGTTTTCGTTCTGTCCGTCTCGACTTACCACGCTGTTGAACTTCTCGGGTGCATCTGACCGCTGCGGTACAAAGTTCAGCTCGCCCCCGCGCTCGATCGTCTCCACAGGCAAGCCGATGCCGTTGTCAAAAAGTTCCAATATTGCGTTGCTCGTGAACTGGACGATTTAAAGTACAACAACATATAGTTTTACAAGTGCATCCTAAATATATTAGCGTTAATTAATAAAAGTGACTATTTATCGCCAATTGGTGTTTGTGTTCTGTAAAAAATTGTCTTCGCTTCAAGTAAACTCAGTCCGTTTTCCTCACTTTTTTTCTGCAAACTGCTGGCATGTGATATTACACATTTTTTATGTACACGCTGACAATGCAGAACAGGCGATTACATGGTTATTTGATCGCACGCGACAAGGCACATCATAGATTGGCGCCCGTGCCGGATGCTTCCTGGGTGTAACGAAGATTGGCCCATAGCGCGAAGGGCCGGGCGTGCTGTACGTGCCTTACAAGCTGTGTATAGCACAAACAGATATATGACCCCGGTCTGGCTACATGAAGAGCTCGTTCCGTTTTCTCCGCCCTTTGTGCCCTGTCTTTAAACATCGGACAATGGAACATCCGCTGCATCGCTAAATATCATACTAAGGGATGTCAATTGCCATGATAAAAAAATAATAAAATACAATGCCAGCTTGCCAGCCCAGTCGCAGATTTTGTTTTCCCCTCAATCTTAGGAGCCTTAGATTGTAAACTTTCTTTTCGGACATCCAGAGCGTGAACACAGTATGCGAGACACTTGCGAAACACCTGGGAAAAAGTGTATGCAAAAGGGTTACATGCCGATTGGTACACTGTTTCTGCTGTACGTTATCCTTATCTCCTGGAAGATTTGCACATCTACATACAAAAAAAAGAAACATACGTATTCGAATTCCGATGAGCAACGAAACAGTTTTGTCGTCGTTCCCTCTGCACGTAAGCTCCTTAGAGGCTAGTGCCTCCTTTCTGCTTCAGTGCACCAAAGAGCATTTACGCGGTGGATCGGTATATATATAAAATTTATTTTTATTTTTTAAATAATACAGTTGAGAAAATACGTTGAAACTCGCACACCGAATCGGTCAGTGACCATACATGGTAGGATAGCTTTCTCGTTTTATTTTTATTTATTTATTTATTTATTTTTTCTGAGTAATTCTACCGGAATCAAAGCGTTTCTCTTGAATCATACGAGCGCAACCCCAAGGTCAGTCCTCCGGTGGTCTTTAGCGCTCCGTAAATAATCATGATGCCATCGTCTCGAAAATTAATGCAAGGGGACGCCAAAACTGCGGACACATACCAATTTTTGACTACTATATATATACATACTATACCCTCGACAAAAAAAAAAAAAAAAGAAACTCGCGCACAGGCAAGATAGCAGCAACGTTACGTTGATACGTGACATCAATTATTCTTCGGGGCCTCGGAGGCAAGCTAGAGGCGCCACGCACTCGCGGCTGTTACGAGTAAATTCCAGTTTTGTGCCTCGGGGGGTGGTTTCTCTCGCAGGCGAGCGGCGTGCTCCCCGGCGGCCGACGCCCGGCGCTTGCCGAAGGGCTCTTCTAGAGTGCAGCCAAACAAATCGTCGAAAGGGTTAAGCTGCGTGGGTAGCCCCTGCGCAGAGAGGAAAAACAAAAACAACGCACGCTTCGACAAAAAGGAAACACGCCGCGCTGGCAGACTCGGTACCTTGTATACCCCCCGCACGCGGGTAGGCTAGTACTTGGTCCTTTCGTGTTTATGCGCCGCCATTTCTGCGTGGGATGACGCGTTTTTCTTTAACCTTTGTCGATGTTTTTAACTCGTTCTCCGAGTGGCCGGCCGAGAAGGTCGAATTCTCCGGAGGCTAAAAGCCTCCCGTCGTAGAAAAAGGCTCGTGGTACGTGCACGCAGCAGCAGCCCTGCAGTCCGGCCTCGACAACGCGATATCTTGTTCCTTGTTGAGACTTGGGAACTTGCATAGGGAGCTTCGAGACGGTGGCGTCATAAGTAGGCGTTTATACAAACAACTCTAAACTCGAACGGTGGGATTGTATTGAAGACAGAAACAGACAGAAAGAAGGATTGTTAAACCGGAGCAAAAATAATACGATGCTTGTTTGATGCTGATCTAGCTCTCCCCTAACAAAAATCGTTCAGCCTTTCCACTCTCGTGAAAAAGGAAGACCAGCGGAGCTGTACTCGACACACTGTGTGCTTCTTCTTCGTCGTCGTCTGTTTTCCGCGCTGTTTCCTACGATGAATTCCCACTAACGCGCCCAACTATCCATTCTTCTATTAAAGCTGGAAAGGTTGCCGCCATCTACGAGCGACGGCGGAAACCATACTGGTTGTGTGCTTGCCGCCGTCGCTTATAGATGGCGGTAGCTGTCCAGGTAGGTTTGTGTCGACATACACGGACACGATCCTGGGGAACCGAGCCCTTAACAGCTCCGCTGTAAAAAAAAAAAAAATTGCTTGCCCTTCTTATCACTCCTTCGTAAAGTTGAAACAACACCCAAGTAGAAAGTTACCGCGGAGCCAGGCTGGTACTTGGTAGGTAACCCGGCGGCCAGGCGACTCTTGAGTCCACGGTCGTCGGTCGCTGAGGCTTCGCTTTCTTCGTCATGTCTGGTGGCGCCTTCGAATTTTGCCGCCTGTTGCCGCCATAGAACAGCAACACGTAGATATTATTGTCTTGTATGTTTGGCCTTTCTCTTTACAATTTTTTTTTTACATGCCGCCCCGGGGGGGGGGGGGGGGGGGGGGGGGGTCATTTTTTAAAACGCCTTTGAGCGTCAAAAAAGGCATTTCCCCGCTGTCACCAGTGCGAGTGAGCCGGACCCCTTTTCTTTTTTCATCAGTCACTTCGTCTTGCTTCTGCTTTCTATCTGCTTCCGACACCTCGAACTGTAAGATGCCCGAGATCCTTTTTCGCCTTTCTCTGTTCATTTTGTAGGGCCAGGGCGAATTAAGCGCATTAACAATTGCCGTCCCAATTGTTATGACCTGCATGGAGTATTTCCTGCCGTCTGCAGGCTTGTTTCCTTTTTTATTGCTATTTTTTTTCGCCTGGAATTGAGTTTTTCTTTTTAATTTTAAAACAAGTACCCCCCCCCCCCCCCCCCCCCCCCCCTTTTTCCTCCGTAGTCGGCGCCTATGTCTTACGCAGCATTGAATTATCGCATCACGACAAGAACGGCGGATGCGTACTTCCCGTTGCTTTGGATCGGGGAATGGGAGCACCGCGACTCTTGATATTTACCTGGGCAGCTCGCCAATAGTGATTAAACGATGTTGCCTCCTATGCTCGAAATCCCTTCGAAGGCATCTCTATGGACCGTGCACGCCGCCAGTGCCACCAAAGCGAGGGCCGGTCATTTCTTGTTGCCGCTCGTCTGCAAAGATAAGCACTCGACAGCTTGGTTTTGCCCAAGTAATGGCGTAAAATTGTTTCTGACTGACAGCCACAAACGTCCGAAGGGGATTTCATTAGGCAAAGTCGGGGTATAAATGGCTGTTGAACGTGGGTGTGGAGGCCATACGCCTTTTGAGGCTGCATACCTTCTGAATCTTGGGGTGTTTCCGATTTGTCCCAGCGCCAAACGACGTCCTACACAACGGCGATGCTTTGTGGAAGGAAGATATCTGGTTTCCAATCGAGACACTCCAAACGTGGCTTTGCCATGTGTCACGGAGTAAAACGCGATTCTAAAAACAGTGACACAGACGCACGGCGGGAGACTTGTGAATAGTTCTTTGTTTCGCGCTGTTGTGAACACTGGACTAGCGCCGTTCGCAGTGGATGTCTTGATCTTTAAGTGCATTTTTTTTTGTATACTTTTTATTCCTAAAGCAACTTAGCTTTTCTCTTTCTCCTTGCCAAGAGACAACGATGACGCGAATTTTCCTGTGTTCCTGTTCGCTGCTGAATGGCTATCATAATTATTATGGCACGCTTTCCACTCCCTCAGAGCTCGACAATGTTTTTTTTTTGGTTTGACCCGTACGAACGAACTTGCTGATTAACAGGTGGCGATTAAGCGAAATTCCCGAGGAGATTGGAATGATCAAAAAAATTGCTCCGACTTTACTCAACAAGATTAACAATTTAATCTAATTCTCAACAAGATTAACAATTTAATAACAATAGATTGGAATGGGGAGCCAGTGCCACAAACTAGCTTCTTCCGCAGCATGCATGGTGGCGACATAATTAAGGTAACTATTTTTGTCGGTGAAGAGTTTCCCAAGGATGAAAAGAAAAAAAAAATAGACCGTCACATACCAATTTTCGAGTGAAAGCGACTCCTACTTTGTTGATGCGTTCCAGCCGGCCCTGGCCGCTCCCTTAGCAAATTGGGAGACGGCCCCTAGCTGACGTCAGGCGCCACGTGACTCCATTCGGTGGGAGAGAGAGCGGAAAGGGCAAAAAGGCGAAAAGCAAAGAAAAGCGCAAGGGGAGAGGAGGAGCGAGGAGCGCAGAGAGGAGCGCAGCACCTAGCGCCTCCGTGCGGGCGCAGCACTCAACGTTGCCTCGGCGGATTTTTGTGTGCGCGCGGTGGTGGTGTCGTGTTCGTTGGGCGCTGCGCGACTGTCCCGGCCGTACTGCCGGTGGGCTTCGTTTACAGCCCCAAGGAGCGTTCCCCCCACCCTCGCGACGCCGTCTGGGAAAGTCTGCGGAATCCGTGCGGGCCATCTGGAGCCGAGTCGGCCGAATAGCAGACCCCGAGCCCCTCCAGACTGACCGAGAACGGCTGCAAACATGGAGCCTGGCGCTGTCCGGAGAGTCGCGACACTCTCCGTGTGGACCGCTACTTGGTCGGAAAACGTCGTCGTCGGACTACTCGTCACCATGTTTCGCTGATCTGAAAGAGTGTGCCGAGGATCTTTGGTGAGCGCGGGGAAAGAAGTTGCACGCCCGGTCGTTGTGGTCGAAGGAACTGGCCCGCTAACGATGCGGACGAGCGGAGCTGGGAGCGCTCGCTGACGCCGGCCGATTAGGCGGCTCCGGACGCGACGGTGGCCCGGGGCTGAAGACCGGGAAACATGCGGAAGGTGAGCCCAATGCGTCATTGATCCCGCGTCCGCTGGTCAGTCCTGGCATCTCGAGCCCCCGCGCGCGAGATGTGCGGAATGACCTCGCGGCAATGCCGTGTGGCCTCGAAAAGGCAAAAGGAAAGAGAGGAGCGCCGAGGGTCCCCGTAGTCGAGCTTTTATCGGCTCGTTTGTATGCGCCTACCGACGCGCAATTGCGTCGCTATCGCGAGGGGATCGCCAGAACCAGTACCTCGCGTTCCCATGCAAATCCGGGAGAATGGGAAGTCGCCGCAGCTGCTCTTCTTGGCCCCACAGCCGGGTAGAGGTTTCGTCCGCTGGAATCACGAGCAGAAAATGCGTCTCGGGGGGAAAGAGCACGAAAAGAAGCGTCTCCAATAGCGTCTAGGAAAATGTGCGGCATATGCTTTCGTTCAGCTCGTGTTGTTCGATGTTGCGGCGACCGGATGCTTGCTCGCTGAGTTGGCTTCCGTCGAGCGAGCCTCGTGCCGACGCCGCCGACGCTCTGCCGCACGGCTTCACGGTTGCATGTGTCCAACCAATATTCCCCCTCCCCTCCAAAAACGACGTCCTGGATCGATGGCAATGAAACGCGGACGTGGCCCGAGGTTCCGCAGCCTCTTGCCCCTGACATTGGACTCGCGGTGCCACGGTGACAGGTCCTCCGTTGCCTGGGAGGCCGGCATATCTCCGGGCCAGAGTCCACGGGTAGCGTCGCTGATAAAAGCTCTTAAAACGCGCCGGTCGTGATGGTGCCTTGGAGCATGTGTCGCTGTTTGTATCGGGACCATGCTCAGATGATCGCTGGTGCCCAGGGGCGGATACAGGCGTTTCCAGGGGAGAGTCAGCGTATCAGATGTTCAAACCCCCCGCCGTCACGCCTTTTCCCCTCAAAATCTGCCGCTTAGAAGGGAGACGTACTTTTGAGTCTGTCATCGTACGCTGCATTTCCACTATTGTACGTAGCAACTTCAGAAGAGCAGGAGACGAAGCCCTTCCCTCTTTCCAGATTAGCACAACAAACACTGGAGTCCGCTCTCTTCCTCCCCAGCATTGGCGCTGCTAGTGTGGAAAGGGGGAACGACTCCGTCTCCTGCTGTTCTTGAGCCCCACACTCTGGCGTTACCGAAATAATATGCCTCCATTCGAAAAGAGAGCCTGTTTTTGTCGCATCCGATGTGTTTTCCAGCAACTTGTGCCAAGAATCCGTAGAGGGGAGTCGGGGAGGGCCGAATTGGGGCCACTTAGCCCCTTTGTGATTACTCCACCAACGGAGGTCCGAGCGTTTCCGGCATGGGTTGAGAGGCTCCGTCTGACACCCCACCCACCTCCTCTAGACCGTCGGTCGCGTCGGCCCCTTGGCTTCCTTCCTCTTCGGTTGCCGACATTTCAGCGTTACTCGGGCCGTCGAGGGTGGTTTGTTGCGCCACTTGCTAGCTCTATGTCATTCCCGACTGTTCCATCAGACGTGAGGCGTGTTGGAAGACTCTCCGTTGGATCGGGAGCAGTGAGAAACTCCTTGGCAGTGAGCGATACGCGGAGCTCGAGACGCGGTGTCACGGGACGTGCGCCTCTGTTTGTTCCAAGAGGGCGTCTGGATCTTGGCCAGCGTTTTGCTGTCAAGCCTGCTGCAGAGCTTCGTTGCCGAGGGGGCTGAGTCGCGGCCTTGGCACTCCCCTCCGTCGCCTGGCCTCTCCTTGCCCCCCTTGGCGGTGGCGGCCTTGTTTTGTTGCCGCCTTTGCGGTCGAAGCTTCCCGCGCGCGTGTGACCCGTGGCACTCGACGGGGGCTTTCTTTTTCGGGATGAGCAGCCGCTGCTGGGTTGAGGGATCGTTCCACTCGCTGTCCTGACCTCGCGGCGAGCTGGCACGAACCCCGGGCTGTCCGCGAGGCCGCCGCGTCGTCTCCGTTGCCGTCAATGGTCGGGTGGTTGCTCCGCGAGAGCTCACCTAGCGCTTATGCAACCCGTTGCCGCACGGGGCTTTTGTAACAGCGCCTCGAGCCCTCCCCGCAAAACGGAATACTTGCCCCGGCAACCTTCAAAAGAAACGCAAGGTGTGGCCAGCCTACTGTTTCATTATTACTTCGGAATTACGAGATTACGGCATATGCGTATAACGACAAGGCAGTTCCAGTGCACCGTATCCGCTCCGATCATGGCACTGACAGTCCGTGGCGAATCATCGTGATTGGGTCCTGATCGATCTTATGGGCTGGACTGCTGCTGCCTTATCTTATACTGGTAATCGATCGGCGTTGGGCGCCTCCTGTTTTACTCACTGACAACTGAAGCTTCGTTCATTGGCGATCTGTATTTTGCGGCGATCTCACTGGCTCCGATAATAATATGCTGTGAACTCGCCACACCTTCGTTTATTCTTCGCCGCCATCGCGCAGAAGGGCGCCGTCGTGTTGTTGTCCCCCCCAAGGATGGCGAAGCAGACGGGGAGGCGTTCTCGGATTTCGGTCCCCTTGGGCCGCAGCTCGAGTTCCCGCGGGGAAGGTCGCGGGAGCGTGAAAAGCGTCGTCGGCACCGGCGCGCCGAGCCGGCCGAGCGAGGGAAAGTCTTGCCCGCCGAGAAGTTAGCAGACAGCCAACGCGACGACGTTCCCGTGGTGTCCCTTTCCTCGTCGGCGGGACGGCAGAAAACGGGCGCCACCCATGCAGTGCGCGCTCGTAATTATCCCGAACCGAGGTCGGCGCCGAACGCAACTCGGGGCTCGCGATGAGGGGGCTCCTTTGTTTTCCCTTTTTCGACTCCGCTATCGAACGGTTGCGCAAGGCGTCGATTAACTCTTGCTGCGCCTGACCCCCGTGGGCGAGACGGTCGCATTCCTAGATGAGCCCTTCGCGTCCCGCCGTCCGACGATAGCCCGCGGTTCAACTCATTAGTTTGGCCTAATTAGGGCCTTACGTATAAGAGAGTCGTTCATTCTGCTTTTAGGGGTGTAGGAGACTTCGTGACTTAACTCCCCGGGGAACGTGTTGTTTCGCTTGAAGGCGCCATTAGGACCCTCCCCTCGAGGCTCGGGATGCTCCGCCGTCTTGGTCACTGTACCAATTTATCATCGTTAACGGTATTAAACGTTTCGAATTATTTGCGGGATCTACATTTTAGCGGCTAGGCAGGAGCGATGGCCGCGACGTTTGCGCATCCATGAAAAGAGGGGCAAGAGCCAGCCAGAGCTTAGTTGCCCACTCCTTCGTGTAATTGAATTAGCGTCTTGGGGTGCTATGTTGCGCTTTTTGGACTCCCAGGAGACTAGGGAGAAGGAAGTGACGTCAAAGACACAGCAAATGCAGATTGGGTGTTGATTTCGTTTTCTTCTGTCAACACCCAATCTGCGTTTGCTGTGTCGTTGACGTCACTTCCTTCTCCCTAGTCTCCTGGGAGTCCAAAAAGCGCGACATAGCACCCCTGTATCTCCGAACTGATTTCGGTGAGTTAGTTTTATCTCGTGGAAAAGACGTGTGACTGTAAAACCCTCATAACGCGCAAAAAAAACAACAAAAAATTGTTTTGTGGGTCAATATAAGAATTAACCAAAAAGACACGTGTTGTCGTGTCTATATATATATATTGTCCCTGTGTTTGATTCTTTCTCAGTTTGACATTACAGGCGTGCTCATCTCAAAAGTATAATCGTACACTTGACTGGTGTCCTTCCGCGTCGAATAACCCCGCATCGTATTGCTAACTAAAGTGCACTGGCATGTGTAAATAGCTGGCCGTCGACAGTAGCTTTTGCCGCTTCGTTATTGGCTCCTCTTATGTGATGACGCAACAATTTCTTAAATAAATTCAACAGATCGGTAAGCAAATTGTTAGTGCCAATTCTCACTAACCTGATTGGGTTCTGTGGATATAATCTGTATACGGGGAGGTATTCATGGGGCACCATACTGTTGGTCCTGGTTCGCAGCGCATGCTCAGAACTAGCTCCCATTTATCGTCTGCCGATTACAACGATCCTTATTCGGTGGAATGCACGTTGAACGTGCATAATCGTGCATTCCCTCCAATCAGAATGGCTGTTCTTGGCGGAAGATGAATTGGATAATGACCGATCTAGCCCCTCACTATTACGCGTTGACGCCCAAACGGCAGTAGAGTTCTAGCAGATAATTCCGGTGACTCCGATAACGATACCCGATACTCCGCCACCACCTTTGCGCAAGCATCGTATCGGGTATCGGTATCGGAACGATCTACTAAAACTCTTTAGCGGTAAAACAAACGGGTCCATATCACAAGAGCGAATGACATTTTAGCGAACGGCGACATTTGAGCGAATGGTCGTTTTAGCGAATAACGGGGGCGCGCGTTAACCCATCCGTCGCGCTGCGCTTTACGCCGCTTCGCGGCGACAGTCTGCGGCAACTCATTACAAAAATATGAACTTACTTGGCCCACCCGAAAACGCCGCTTCGCGGCGTCCGGCTATTCGCTAAAGTGTCATTCGATGAAACGTGGGCGTTCGCTAAAGCGTCATTCGATCAAGTGAGTGCCTCCCAAAACAAACACCCCCCAACTAGGTGCAAATATATATATATATATATATATATATATATATATATATATATATAGCAATGCGTTGTACTATTTGTTTGTGACCGTCGAAGACCGAAGGAGGGCTTTAAAACATTTTAAACTCTAAGATTAAAAAAAAAAAAAAAAAAAAAAAAAATCACACAGCACAAGACACTGAAATGCAGCTGGGTTTATTCACCAGAGAACGCCAATACAGACATACTAAGACAAGAAAAATGAGAGAGAATGAGTGTGGATTGTATCTTGCATGAATCTGACAGGAGGGAAGGGTTCCCCCACATTTGATTAAATTCTAGTTGAGCGTATGGGTCTGCCACCTTTCTATTCGTGTGAGTGCACATGGCGGCCGTACATATTTCTCTGGGCCCGGTCTGTGCGCTCGTCATTCGCTTGTCGGTCGTGCTCCAGTGACGCAATAGCGAGCGAGGTCCCAGACGTTACCCGCGTTT